AATTTAAAGGCAGGGGCCAGCCCGGTGGCACACTGGAGAGTGCAACAATTGGGAGCACATGGCGCTCACGCCTAGGGTTCGGATCAAATTTGGAGACCGGTTCCGCTCACTGGCTGAGCTTGGTGCTGGCACAACCCCGAGGGTTGCGATCCCATTACCAGTCAGTAAAAAGACAAAAAGGCAAAAAAAAAAAAAAAAAAAAAAAAAAAAAAAAAAAAAAAAAAAAAAAACTTTTAAAGGCAGTATAACATTGAGAAGTTTTTTCAAAGTCGTGCTTCCAAGGTGCAAAGCATTCCCTGGTCTTCGATTTATCAGATAAGGCATGGTTCACAATGATGAGGATTTTTCATCCCAGGACCACATCCAGGATTACACAGCAACTTGTCACAACAGCCAGACCACTCCAGGTTTTTCAAAAAACAAAACTGAGGGCTGACCTGTGGCTCGGTTGGTTAGAACAGCGCTACAACACCAAAGTGAAGGTTTCAAATCCACACCTGGACAGCCAAAAAACCATAAAGTAAAATGAAATAAAATAAAATATTGTATGTTAGTACACTGACCAATCACTTTCTGAATCTTCTGGCAGGGCTCTAAAAAGCATCCCTTTCATTGTTGTGCCAAACTTTAGAGACACCCAGTGCTGTTTCTAAAATGGGCAGTAATGCAGCCAAAGTTGTATCCCATCGTCCAGCACGTGCTGCAGGGCAGACAATTGAGTTTGGGAAGTGCATCTAGCACGTGTCCTGCGTTAGGGAAAACCAAGCAGAAAAGCCGTTGGGAAAGTCGCTAATTTGAAACAATAAACCAGTTTGCCACCTCATGTTATGAAACCTAGGGCAGTTCGAACTCGGGAGAGCAGGATAGAGGTGGGAGGGAAGCCACCTCTTACAGACCTAAGTTAGAGCATTTTCTATCGATGGCCTGTTCAGCAGGCGGGCTGGGCCCTGGAGCTCGCACGGAAGGGATGCCCAGCTTTACTGGGTTCCCAAAATTTTGACGCATTTCCTGATTCTTGCATCAGCCCTCTTCAAGAAAAACACAGGATCTAGACGCGGGGACTTCTCCACAACACGCCTACACCTTTATTTTCTTCCACATGTATGGATTTACAATGAAACAGCGAAGATCCACTATATGTCTTTGACTAAACGCTGTTACCATCAAAGTCTACCAATCTACGTCTCAATCTCAAAAGACGTTAAAGGAATCAATTCGCGGGTCTGTCAATTCTCAGAACCAAAAATCTGAGAGACTGGGTCATTCGACCGGCTGCACCAAGGAAGAGAGAGGATAGAAACTGATCAACTCGGAAGAGAGAGTCAGCACCACCCATCTAGTAAATGGCCAATTCAGAAATAAAAACGGGGGGGTGGTCGGGAAGGAGAAAGAAAAAAGAAAATACAGAAGCCCCCCACACCGAAAGAAAAGAAGAAACTGCACTTTTCTGCTATCCTTCTTTCAAAAGCTTGATATAATCAAACCACATTATATACATATATCAAAATATCCCATTGTGCCCCTTAAATGTATATAGTTATGATTTGTCAGTTAAAATAACATTAATTTAAAATAAACAGACGGAAAAATCTCACATTCACAGGGACTTGCTGCCGTCCCAGTTCAGGCTGTGGGGACCACCCAGTGCACCCTACCGCTGCGCTGCTGGAATTCGAGGCTGCAAAGTGCAGACTCGGCTGCGCAGTAGCGCCCGGCACACGAGCGCCCCTCTGTGGGCGCCTGGGGTGACGCCAAGATGGGCGCCTTGCCTCCCCACTTTCTACCGTTTTCGTTTGTTTAGTGCACATTTGCAAAAGCATAAATAGGTATTTAAATGAACCGGGGGCCAACAGGGCAATTTTGCTCTTCCCCAAATGCTCTTCAAAAAGTATGTAACGTAAGAGAATTGAGTTCAGACTTTCTAAAGTTTTCAGGGTTGCGTACTCACTCACGTGCAACGCCACCTTTGGGAACAAATCCGAAAACAACCCAACATTTAATAAGTCCACCACGAGGTCCTGTTCTTCAGCTACATCGCTATGTCTGCTTGCCATTTTCCAAACAGCCATGTGCTTCCTCCTTCCGTAAAGTAAAAACTTATGATCTATAGAGTGATCAACACAAGCTATTAATATGTCTGTCCTTAGCGGGTCCCCTATCCCGTAAGAAGTTGGTAATCAGTAGCCCATTTTAAAGGGGAGAAAACTGAGGCTCAGAGAGGTTAAAGTGCTCAAAGCCAGAAGCTTTGTAGCAGCCTTATCATTTGAACCCTCGTATCAGCACCCATCGCACATGCTCATACCCCCGATGTCATTCTACCTCTGGCTCAATTCCATCTGGAAATTCTTAACATCCTTCACAGCCTGTTGCAGTACTGCATCTGTTCTAATAATACCCCCACCAGGACACTTTCCTGTATAGCCCCCTGGCAAGAATAAGTCCCTCCTCTAGGATCCCGCCTTACCTTCACCTCCCTTGTAGCACGTTCATTACGTTGCCTGATACTGGAAATCCTTGTCAACGTGCCCCTTTCCTTCTAAGTTCCTGGAGAGCAGCACTGTGTCTTACTTATGTTTGAACAGCACATCGCTCCCAATGTACCCAGAGTGAAACATTATAAAATGAAAAGCACCCAGCACAGCCCCTGGAATTTCTGTTCCATTCCGTCAGCGTGTCACTTATCCAGTGATTCTCCAGATTTCGCGTCTCCTTGTTCGGGTCGACAGTAAGAATTTCTTTTCTTGTAAGAAGGAAACGTAGAATCGGAGTTGCTTTGCTGCCATGTAGGAGTGTAAATGTGCGCAGGAGGATACACGGAGAAGCTGAGGACTGGAATGGATGCACTGTGCTGGTTGTGGACGTATTTTATTACCTCTGCTCACCACCTACTCACCCTTTTGCCAGCTCTGTGAAAATGGATATGGGCCCTTTAAATACTTTTCCCTCGCTGGTGGCACAATTTAAGCCTCTGTCAGTAGAAGGTAATGGACAGAGATTGTAGGAGGAAATGGTTTTGTCTCCTGGTGCGTACGAGCTCTCTGGTCAGGCTGTTGCACAGCGCAGCTTTCCCCTGCACCCTAGAGGGCACATTTCTGAAAAGTTCTAGAGGGCATGTTTCCAGCAAGCTCCAGCAGTACTTCACCACGATGACTTTTCTCTTATTCACGAGGCTTCGACTCTCCATCTCAGCTCAAAATCCTCTTTTGATTTTTATCATTATTTATTTATTAATCTATGAAGAATATTCATGAACTACAAAGGTAATTGTGCCCTCGCTCAATCCCTTCTCTACATTAAACTTTCCCTGTTCAAATGAGGTTGGTTCTTGCCTCGTATCAGACCCACACTGATGCACTCGCCCTTCCGGATTTCTTTGTAGTACCTAATACTAAATCGGTGTAGAAGTTTGTTTATCAAATGCGAATGTAGACCCAACAGATACTCAGCAATCCCCTTCAGTTTCTTTTCTGGTAAATCCTCTCCATTCGTTTACTTGACCCGTTTTTCTCCGTGGAGGGAGATGGAAAACAGAAGGAAACGCTTTCCTTACTGCCACTCATAAGGCTGGCGTTCCATTTCCTGGTGTCCCTAAGCTGCCTTAATATGAGTAGGGAAGAATTATGGTGAACAACAGGTGCTGGAGATCTCGCAGCAATGGGATGAATGAGGCAGGTGCTGGAAGTGCTATTAACATGTTTTTGGGTACAAGCTGGACGACAGAGGTGATGGAGGGAGCATTTATCTCTGTCAACACACAGTGCACACTTGTCAGCCAGCATTTCTGCCGCCGGTAATGGGCACCGGGTAATAACAACAGACATTTCGTTTAAAGACCACTAGAGAAGCCGCATAAAATGTTTTTAAAATATAACCCACAGGGATACACCATCTCACCCCAGTTAGGATGGCTAATATCCAAAAGACTGTGAATGACAAATGCAGGTGAGGTTGTGGAGAAAAAGGGACTCTCATACATTGTTGATGGGACTGAAAAATGGTGCAGACCATACGGAAAATTGTGTGGAGGTTCCCCAAACTATTGCAGATAGATCCATGTAGATAGATAGACCATCTGACCCAGCTATCTCCCTGCTTGGAATATGCCCTGAGGAATGGAAATCATCAAGTCGAAGATGTACCTGTTTCCCAACGTTCTTTGCAGCCTTATTTACAATAGCTAAGTGTTGGAACCAGCCCAAATGCCCATCATCAGATGAGTGGATATGGAAAATGTGGTATATCTACACAATGGAATATTACTCTGCTATAAAAAAGAATGCAACAACATGGATGGACCTAGACAGAACTGTATTAAATGAAACAAATCTGGCACAGAATGAGAAATATCACGTGTTCTCACTTATTTGGGAGCTAAAAATATATAAATAATAACATAAACAAAACTGCTGGGGGAAGGAAGATGACAGAAAAATTACAGTACCTTGAATTTGAGATGAGAAGTGAAAAGATATTAGGTTGTTGGGAGGGAGAGGAGACAGGCAGGAGGAAGGGAGGTTTTGGTAATGGGCCACAATAATCAACCATATTGTATGTTGCCAAAATAAAATAAGATTTAAAAATAAATAAATAAATGAAATGTGATCGTACTAAAGAACATCAATAAGTTCACAAAACAACGGGCAATTGCTGAGCTAAGAGCTGGGAAGAATGAGAAACCCAGAGAGGTGTGAAATGCTGAGAGGACTGCCTTTGCTCCTGGGCGTTTACTGATCTAGGAAAGGCCTAAAGTGCCGGGGCTGTAGTTTGGCTGGCTTCGTGGCACTGAGGGAGAAAAGTCAGAATCTGGAACCCACCTCAGGAGGGGAAGTGGAAAAGCACCTCCTGTCTTGGACTGGGACCACAAAGAGAGGTATGTCCAGAGTGAACGTGATCCAGAATTAACCAACAGTTAACCACACGGTCTGTAGTTCAGGCTCACATCACAAGGGGATTCAACAACCCCAGGTGTCTGGAATAAGCAATCAAAAATGCTTTCCTGTGTAGATAATGTCAAGTTCTTTCTACAAAGAATTTTTAAATAGAATAGGGAGCATGAACTGAAATATAAGCCGACCTCTGAGAAGATCAGACAGCAGGAAAAAGAAGCAATGAAAACATCTACGTTTGGGGGGACACAGCCCTCTGCTGCAACCCCCTCCCGCCCTCCAACAGCCACAGGGAACTTCCCGACATAGTGTTCGTGACACATTCACCTGGCTAGCCACCTTGGTCCTCTGTGGGAAGCGAATTTGTGAGCATCTTAGCACATGCGTGGGAAGGGTCCAGACTGAAAATGATGCAGGGTCCCAGTGTTGAGAAGGGAGACTCCTCACCCTTCAAGAAATGGAAAGCCGTGTAACACCGCAGCCTGGGACAGTGGCTCGCAGGCCTGCGACTTCGTGTTTTCCGATACAGGTTAGAGGAAAAGCTGGAGGACACCTTACACTGCAGTGTATTTACGTGAAATGACGGACTCAGTGATGCCGGTGGCTGAGAGCAAGAGAGCGGGGAGAGGTGGCAGGGGATCTTGGAGTGCAGTGGAGGGGAAGGCGGGAAAGGCGCGTTCCCCTAGACAGCTGGAGGAGGACAGGCGGCAGGGAGCACGGGGGTCAGGGCCATCAGGTCACATGGGACATTGGTCTCCCTGCATGACGCCTGGTGCTCCTCCCTGGTTATAGCCTCGGGTCACCAGGCACCTGTAAAAACTCCTGACGCCCAACGCCTGCCCAGACGCTCCCATGTTCCCGGCCAGGGGCGATGGGGTGGAAACGCTTCGGGTGCCTCTTCCGGGCAGCGCGGCTGCGATCCAGCGTCTCTGCACCTCGGGGGTCAGTCACGGGATCGTGACGTTGAATTCTCACACCAACTGCACAGCCTCCTGTCATCAGCCTGGTTGACATGCAGCTGAAGCCAGAAGACCGTGCCTGCTGTGCCAGCAAGAGTATGCGATGAAGTCAATTTGATATGCACCCTACAGCATCGCAACCAGATGTGCCCACAAGACTTATGAGGAATACGAAATTTCACAGATCATGGCTTCCTCACCATGTGCAGTGTCCTCTGATCACTTCTGATCCACTCCATTCAACTAGTGCAGCCCGGGGTGTGGGGGCGGGGGTCCGAATTCACAGGCATCAGGGTTGCAGCCGTGCGGAAACCCTGGGCGCACCTCGGGATGGCAGGGCTGAGGTGAGAAGCCCCCACTTGGACTAAGATGCGGCATTCTCGCTGCTTTGCTGCCTCCTCTGGGTCCCTGAGCGTCATTTTGGCACCAAGGGCATGTTTGACAACCGTGGGTTTTCTTTGGAAAGACAAGGAATGGCCTAGAATA